CAAACTAATCTGTTAGGAGTATCAGAAAACAGATTATCCAAGTACGAGTTCATGCAGCAAAGAAAAGAATTCAACAAGCAGAATTCCACAGATACATTCCATCAGAGCTCCACGACGGAAGACGCTGTTTCCTTAGTATTTACCTATTTTCACTCATCATCATCATAGTCAAAATGTCTTGTCAGACATGTTGTGAACTCTTAAAATGTACTGAGTCAAAACTGGAGGATTGCCGACACGCAGAATGCCAACTGGTTTGAAAGGCAAGAGACCGGATAAGCGACATTCTGGTGGCTTTCGTGATATGATTGTCACGCCACAATTCACCGTGAGAAGAAGCAATAAGAGGAGTATCGTCGACAAGCCATAAATTAAATATCTTGATTCCACCAAGAGTTACATCACCGTACCAACCGTCCAGTATCCGTCTCATCACAAGTTCTGAATAGATGTTAAAAAAAATCGCCGGATGACACACATCCCAGATGAACTCCTTTTCTTGTTGTATTCTGGTCAGACATGTTACCGTCAATTCTTACTCGAGCTGTGTCGCAATCATAGAGCTGTTGTATGAGAAATATCAGATAGTGAGGAACTTCCATGGAGAGAAGAATTTCCCATAGTTTAGGCCACTTTACTTTTTCAACTGCCTAAGAGTAGTCCACACAGCAAATATAGACTGGAAAGTAATGCTCTCTGGCCTTTTCAATAATCTGCCTCAAGTTCAAGATATTGCGTATAACACGTCCCTTTACGAAACCTGCCTGCTGTGGAGATATTTGCCAGTTCACAAAACCTCCAAACGAGAATGCTGAATATATAGCATAACCCTGCTTGAATGAGAGATCAATGAGAGTAAACAATAATTGTCTGCGTTTAGCGGAGAGCCTTTTTATGATGTATAACAAAGATTGAAGTGCCCCATTCGTCTGACCAGACACCGGAGGATCAAACTTTCTAACAAATACGATGTAAAAAATGTAGGCTGTCATCATCCAAGCACTACAGAGTTCCTGCAGAAAGGGCCTATCGCTTTACTGGCTCTTAGTTTCGTAATGGCATCTTCCACTTTTGAAAAAAGAATATCCGGCTCACGTTCGTAATTATTTAACAATGGGGGCTTGAATGTTAACATCGGAATAAAGGTTCTCACAATATGTAGGCCACCCCAATAAACATTTTTCGCAACTTATAGTAACGCCAAGTTATATAATGGGTATATAATAGTAACAAAGGTATATAAGAAGGTTTCCAAGTTTTATAATCTGAAACCTATGGTAACATAGTATTATAAAGTATTTATATGCTTACTATAACTTACAGGTAGGTATATAATAAGGTGATGTAACTATTTCCATCACCATTTTATAAAACTTTTAGTACCCGCTACTAAAGTATTTATAAGAAATTTTCATAAAGATTACCGTAACCTCATTTATACAGTGTGCGCCATAAAGTTGGGTACATATGGGAAAATTCTTAATTATTCCTTTTTTCAAAAAACTTTTTTTGGGAATCGTTCGATAACCAAAAAATCGATTATGACACATGTCATGTTATTTTTCTGATGACCAGAAAATGTGCAAAAAGGGACATGGGTACAGTTATAGCGACACGACTGGACGTTATTTTCTAATTTATAACCTTCAAATGTGTATTTCGCAAAACAATCGATTCGTTTGATATCAAACATGTAGTTTAGTTGAATAAAGCTATTTTTGAAATAAAATTAATATTTTCGATTTTCCATTTAAAGGAATGGGTAAAATAAGAAGTTTTATTTTTTTTGCTTTAATTTGATTTGCTTCAAAATCGGCATGTGGAGTTCTTTTTGGATTCTGAACAACTTTTTCTCATACATTTATTTGATATCTTGCCAAATTTGTCCGTTTTTCGACATCAATATCAACTTTTTTCAAAATTCCCGCTAAACCGATAATCGCATGATATGTGTCATAATCGATTTTTTGGTTTTCGAACATGCCCTAACGATCCCCAGAAAAAGTTTTTTTGAAAAAAGTAATAATTAAGAATCTTCCCATGTGTACCCAACTTTATGGCGCACACTGTATCACTAGAATACCCCTAGTTATATAGAAGTGTTGTCAATCACCTTTATAAAAACTGGAAACTAGTAGTGTTTGCAGTACCTATATGTTATAAAACTTTTGGTAACGATAATTTCGAATTTCAACACATCATTTCGCCGAAAAATTTCAAAAAACTTCAATAAAATCCCAAATTCAGTGCCCTCAGTATCTTCCACGAGGACACTATACACACAAGTTTCTGGACAAGAAAATAAATTACTTGAGGGAACTGATACACATGATGATTATAGCAATAACACTATTTTGAGACCAAAATTGTTGATAGCGGTGCTGACGGCATCTGGTTAAAAGTTATATAATGTTACTAATAGTTATAAAATATTACCTTAGGTGATATTATTGTTCCCAGAGTTTATATTGTTACTAAAGTGATCCGCCATATTTTTCTACCCAAAATCATAATAATAGAAAAGACGCGTTGCAAAAACACTAGGTTTAGTTAATTTTGATGCAAAATACACAATAATTGTTTAATACTGGCATATGCAAAACGGAAATGACATTAATTTGTTCTTAAATCTCATTTTAATTAATATTTTTATATGAATTTTTTGTGAGAAAACTAATTTGAAATTAATAAGAAGTGAATATTTCAAGGGCCCCTGCGTTTTTTCGAAGTACCGGTTCTACTTTTGCAGTAGAAAAAGTTTCCCAACTATATTTTGAGTCTATCAATGCTGTAAAATTATATAACAAAAGTATCATCGTTTTCTAATAGGTAAATATTATTAATATTTGTTTTTATTTAGTAACAGACATCTTGAAGCAGTGTATTTGAGAGAAACAAATATATATTTATAATGATAACAAAAGTTATATAGTGTTACCACAATATTCCCGTTACCAATGGTTACAGAAATTAAAGTTAGATACCGTTACTAAACAAAGGTTTTCAAAACCTTTATAAACGCTCAATTTAAGCTCTTTAAAGGGTTAAGTTATATAAAGAAGCTGATATAATATTTACGGTAAATATTATAAAAACAAAAATGTTTATTGGGACACCTCAATGGCCTCGTCCAAGCTGGTGATGAGATGTCCATCGACGTTCTCAACTGACCAAGTTTTGGGTTTAAAGTCCCGACAGAGAGATTTTATCTTTGGGAACATCTCTCCTGGATTGCCTGTATTAGCGTGAGCCTGTATCTCACTGCATAATTTCTGAAGAGAGGAGTTCTTATCTGGGCGGTATAGAATTTTTGGATTTCACGTGTTAATTATTGTCTATACCGATTGCGATTTGCATCAGAATCCAGACCTAAAATATCTACGTATCTCGATGACAGACAATGTATGGGTGGTAATACTTGGCTGTTTAGGTTGGGTGCTGGATTTTGGTTCAGTTGTTTGTGTTACAAATTTTCACTACCTACTGTTAATTTGGATACCTCACGTGACAAACTGATTTGAGTTCTGGTGGGTTTGAGAATGTTGAAGACGTTGTTGGTGGTCTCTGGGAAGGATTTTTATGCTACTTGAATCCACTATGGAGGAGTATGCATATTTAATTTTAAAATTATTCTCAGCTACATACCCAATCGGGTGGCAAGTATTCTTGTTGATATTCTTGATTCTAATGCGATATTAACTTTCACACGCTGGAGATTTACTATTAAGCGGCTCGTAGGTAATGTTTCATTATATCTTCCATCGGTAGACTCCAAGGCCAAATTATACCTTTAAATGGGTTAACCCTAGTTGGGACAAATGGGTATTATGATTTCTGAACTTTAAATAAACAGAATACTTGGACCTGCTCGCAATGTCTATGGGTTGTTTGGAATAATGACGATCAATTATCAACTTCAATCACTTAATCGGTGAAGGAGATTTTGATGCAAAGCTAGGAAGAGAAGCGGCATTAAGGCCCCACGTGGGTACAAAGAGCCTACACATATTCTCAAATGATAATGGCCTAAGACTTACGAAACTAGCAGCATCCAATAACCTTCTTATCAAATCTACAATGTGTGAACATAAAGATATCCATAAAGAAACATGGACCTCCAATGACGGTAGAACCAAAAACCTAATTGATCATGTTGTAATTGATGCAAGGCATGGAAGTAACGTGCAGGATATAAGAAGCTGTTGAGGGGGAAATGCGCGGACTGGGACCATTTTCTTGTTAGAGCAAAGCTGAGAATCAGAATATCAAGCTAAGAAAATGTACAATCCAGTCAAGATCATCAACAGTGAGATACAGCAAAACTGGAAAACGAAGAAATCAGAAGGCATTTCCAGGCGTAAATATAGCACCGAAGCCAAGAAATTACAAACACCGACACGAGTTGGAAAGTACCTACTATCCAAAGCAATCATAGGAGCAGCGAGATTGTGGGAATAAAGCCAAGAAATAAAAATAGAAACCACTGGTACGATCCGGAATGTGCGAGGGGACTTGAGGAGAGAAATAATGCAAGACTAGTAATGATGCAGAATCCTACTGAAAACAATAACATTAAATTAAGACAGCTAAGAAGAAAGACTAATACGCTACGAAAAAGGAATAAAAAGAGAACAACAAGATCAGGTGTTGCAGGAGCTGGAAGTCGATGGAAGGAACAATACCAGAAAATTCTGTAAGACAATAAGAACAAGAAAGAATGCCTTTAGCACCAGCAACATCAAGGACGACAACAGACATCTAGTAACCAGGCAAGATATGCTACAAACATGGAAAGAGTACTTTGAACAACTCAACTACTTAACCAGGGTTACACAAATAACGAAGAACCGGCCAGCATCCGAACTGCGGAAATGCGAGAAGAATACCCCTCTAGAATGGAAATTAAGAACGCTATAATAAGATTGAAAACTAATAAATCTCCGGGTAAAGACACGATAACCGCCGAACTCTTGAAACATCCCGGAAACATAGCCACATCCCAACTACGCGATCTCAAAAGAACTGTCTGGAAAAACGAGAAAATCCCAGTAGACTGGAAAGAAATCATCTTACACAAAAAAGGAGACAGAATGGTATGCAAAAATTAAAGAGTAATATATCGCTCATAAACGTAGCATACAAAGTTCTATCAAATATAATCCTGTCGAGAATAACCCCATTTACAGAGGAGATAAGGGTGGTATGAATAAAAACTGAGTTTAAACTCCGAGTATATACTCGTGAGCATGAGTATGAAGTCTGAGCTTATACTCCATTCCGTAAGAATTTAAAAAAATCGGTTTGATAAGTACATACTCCTAGTACATAGAGTAGATACTCAACATTTTATTTCTCAAACTTGTCTAAACCTGCAACGAATGGCTTTCCGCGAATTCTGCGCATTTGGCGCTCAGTCACTGGACACTCCACATCAACATCAATACGCGTGGATGGAATGAATGAAAGCAGTGAAGAAGAAAGTAATAAAATCTATGAATCCCAAATGGGATTTATAAGTATATTACGTGATTTTCCCATTCTTTTATCTAAGTCACAAACACCAGCTGTTCGGCTATCAAAATCAAAAGCAGCCGAGCTGATTAAAAAGCAGTGGGCGTTAAATTATGGTTCCCAAATAACGACAAATCAATTGTACAAGAAAATTAACAATATGAAATTGCGACTGAAGAAAAAGACTGATATTATTAGAACCGAAAATAAGAAAATCATCCTGCACGATTGGGAAAAGGTCTTAGTAGACATAATGGAAGGGGACACAAATCCAGTTCTTACAAAAGTTCAAGGTAAAGTACGTAAACACAAATATATTTCAAAAAATGTATAACAAAAAGTGTATTTTTGCTTAATTTTATTGATGGCGCATACATGATCCTTTATTTTTCATTTCAGGAGCATTATCGGTTGGCGTAGAGTTACCCAAAAGCAATCATGATGATCCAATTCCTACACCATCAACATCGGCTTCTGAAATGTGTACAGCAAATCGAGTAGCAAATACTGACAATGAAGATCACCAACCTAAGAAAAGGAAACATAATAAAGTTAGTCCCCTTGAAAAATATGAAACAGACGCTATGCAACTTTCTAATAACGAATTACAAAGGCTAGTTTTGCTAAAACAGCTGAAAGTTTTGGATATGAAGGAGAAAAAACTAAAAAGGAAGCTATATCTAAATGGTAATGAAGAATCAACTTTGAACAATAATAATAGTACCTAATATCGTTCACGCCGAAGACGGAAAAGCATTCTTTGAATTATAAGAAATATATCAATACTGTATGAAGCGGTTACATACAGTTACAGTTTAACACAGTTTTACAAATTGAATTGTTAATAAAATTTACCTAATTAGGTTTTTTTTTTTTATTTCGACTTACCTCAAAGAAGAGCAAGAATGGTTTCCGCTATTGCAGGTCGTTTTCGTTGTCCGCTTTGTCTAATATTACCAACCTCCTCTTGTGCCGGAAATGGAACTGGATTGTCTTGTAATGGGGCCTCCAGGGTCTCCACTTCATCTCTTAAATATTTTGCCATGTTGTGTAATATAAAACAGCATATGATTAGTTTAGGAACTTTTCTTAAGGATACTCGTACTTTATATTGAATCATAGGAAATCGTTGCTTCAGTTGACCAGAGCATCTTTCAATTATTACACGCTCCTTCGTAAATAAATTGTTATAAGCATGCTCTTGTCGTGCGTTAGGGTTTCTAAAAGGCACCATTAGCCATGGTGCTATTCCATGATACTAAAACACAGAAGATATGATCATTTGGTGGACAAAATTTGAACCAGTTCGCGCATGACGTCATCGCGTAACAAAAATGTATGGAGATAATAGAGAAATTAGCTTGTTCGTTATGATTTGACTGGCAAATCAGAGTTTCTCGTGATAATAATTCAGATATACAAAATAAAACACGATCCAGCGTATAGTGTATAATTTATTTTATATAAAATAGCTATTTAGAAAATGTTTTTATCATTGAATTGAATAAAACAAATTCCAGTCCCCACAGGTAGAATTTAACAAAAATGTGAAAAATGTCACAGTTAAATAATATGTTAAAAGTAAACAACTATAATAAATGAAAATTGGAACAGCATTACACCACACATGGCTACTACATACTTTTTATTTTTGACCAAATCCCTTTCATTATTTCTTTTGTCATAGTCTTTCTGTTTAGATGTTTCAGCTTTCAGAGATTTAAATTTTGATACTGAAGTCCAGCTTCCGATAGCGTTTTTGCACCCATATATCACAATTATATCGAGAACTAGGCATGTTTTTACTTTTTTTATTATTGTTACTGCTACCTGCTACAATCCACGACCGCACAGTAAACCATGGTTTATATTTATGCTAACTATTATTAAAGAAACTCAAACACAAATGAACAGAATACAATTTCAACAAAGAGATTTTCACGTAAGAACGGACAAAAATACTAATAAACAGATAAAACGATTAAAAACGAACAAAAACACGCCAAGACGCCATTAATCGGACCGAATTTGTCACAGGATGACGTCAGCGGAGGGAGAGAGACAGAACATAAACATGCGCGTGATCTTATCTTGTGTGTTCTAGTATCATGGTGCTATTCCATATCTTTCATCTCCTAGAAGTACACTGTTCGGTCTTTGAAAAAGATCCCTTGCGATAAAAAATATTCCGGAGTTGTTCCAGATTCTGAAATCATGACCATGATGCGTCCACGCTTGTAAACCATTCATCTGCATTGCACGTGCCTTGTACATTAATGCTCAAATATCCCTTACGATTTATATACTCGTCACCATGAATAGGTGGTTTTTTTTATTTTAATGTGTGTGCAATCGACTATACGCCTTCTGCACATGGAAAATCATATTTTGCTTGCCACTGCTCTTTCGCCTCTATTATATCCGCAGGATTGCGGGGAAATTTGATCCACCGTTCACTTTGTTGAATTATCTTATCAGCTACTTCCGATACAACTTTAGACACCGAAGTTTGGTGAACACCAACATCCTCGCCTAATCCTGCCTGAAACCCCAGGTCACCCACATATCTTAAAAATATTTTCAATTTGTCTTTGTTGGGAGACAATGGCACAATTCGGGATAGCTCATAGCATTATAAGACTAACAAGAATTTTCGTAGAAGGTTCCAGATGCAGAGTGAAAGTTGGTAGTGATATGTCGGATGTATTCAGGGTAAATAGGGGATTGAAGCAGGTCGAAGCGCTCTCCTCGACTGTTTTTAATATTGCCTATGGAGAAAGTCGTAAGGGACTCCAAACTCGAAACAAAGCTTTTCCAAACGAATGGTTCGCAACTAATACTTGCTTATGCGGACGATACTATGACGTGCTGAAACTAGCGTAATAAAAAACAAAGAAACGTTTGTTAAATTGGAGCACGAGGCATCTAAAATGGGTCTAAGTATCAACGAAGGCAAAAATAAATACATACATATCTCTAGAACAGGCAGAGGGCGAGTGGAACAAAATGTGCCAGTGAATGAGTACAACTTTGAAAACGTCAAGCAGTTCAAGTACCTGTACCTGGCTTCGATCATCACAGCCGACAATGACATCGGCGAGGAAATAAACTACCGACTAAAACCCGCGATCAACTGCTTTTATGCCCTTAAGAAAATATTTGTATCCAAAGAAGTAACTAGAAGTTCCAAAATTAAAATATACAACACTGTCATCAGACCTGTCAGGCTGCGAATCGTGTACGCTAACGGTACGAAATGAGGAGGTCATTCGTAGTTTCGAAAGGCGAATACTTAGGAAAATATACGGCTGGACAAACGAATGCAGAACTGAGAGACCTATGCGATGAACCAGCTCTATGCAACATAATAAAGGCTCAACGGCTTAGATGGGCAGGACACGTGCGTAGGCAACCCGAAGGAAGGCTAATAAGGCTGGTATAACAGAAAGCCCCAGAGTGGAACAGGCCACTTGGAAGACCCAGACTGAGATAGCGGGACAACATTGCTGCGGATCTGAGAAAACTGGACATCGAAAATGGCACGAAGCTTATGATCGATCGTGTCGGATGGAGGCAAGTCGTCGCGTCCATAGGCGTATCCAGCCTTGGGGGGGGGGGGGGCTGCCGGGCTGCAGCAAGTTGAAACTATTTTTTTCTTCACCGTATTTTATGTGACATGTACATTTTTTGTATAAAAAAAAAATCATTTCTTTCTATAATAAGGGTTTTCTATGGCGGGCGCCTAATGCAGCGAGGGAATCAGTGCTTCATCTTATCTTCCCGAATGTCCGAATACTTCCTTCCTCAGGGGCCCGATTCTCGTCTCAGGGAGTAGAGCTCCCCGATAGAATGCATGTTTTGTCCTTTCCAAGATATTCGAAAAGTAAAAGAGAATGATAAAGACGAAAAATTTGTTCTCTCGGGGAGCTCTACTCCCTGAGACGAGAATCGAATCGGACCTGGTCCTTGAAACCAAGGACCAGCGTTCTCGTGAGAACTATTTCTTTGCCTATCTCAATGACATGATAACATGAGTAACACAGATGGAATAGCTATTCTCATGTAAATGCTGCTCCCCTGTTTCAAGAATAAGGGCCCATGAGAGAAGGTGAACAAAATTTCTCCGCCTTATCAAAAAAAAGCAAATAAGTGGCCCGATGCGAAAATTTTTGTCGCCCTGCAAAAAGGGACGTCACTTTCCCAAAAATGCGAGGATGCCGAATTTCTTATTTCTCATTAGTAAACTAGTAAACCATTCCAAAATATGGCTGATAAAAAACCAGTTGACCTATTTTCGTCCTTTAGTACCTACTTTATAAAAAAAGAAAGTATAGGTATGATCGATGGACTATTGTGCGTAGCTTCTTTTTTTTTTTGGTCAGCACTTTTTGTTAACAGAGCCCCCCCCCCAAACCAAAATCCTGGATACGCCAATGGTCGCGTCACCCAAAGCCCAACAGGGGCTGTAGCACTGCGGAGTAAGTAAGTAAGAATTTAATCGATGAAGGCCTATGTCTCAACTTATTCTTGAGGAATCGACTTGAAATTGAAATGACTTACCGTATACAGGCGAAACTCCTTTTTTGGTAATAAAGGCGAATTAGGAAAAAACAAATGAGATACCTACCTATAAAAAAAGCACTGCAGCAAGTGAATTCTGAAGTTTCGTGTAACTCTTTCGAGTATTTTCTTTCATGTGGTGTTAGTCTTTTTGCGGGTTGCTTTTCTCATGCGGTTCGTAGGTTCCTTGGACGATGCAACTCTGCTTTGAGACAACTCTGCAGAAGACTTCCAAATATTACACCTCATCGAAAATAAGCGCGCAGGATACATTTCTTGCTGAAACCAGACTTTTGCGGCCTTGGCTCTGAAGAAATTTGGTTTGCAAATCCTTATCTTTGGTTTCAGTGGTTGCATATCGATGGGGAGTTTGAGAGAAACGTTCCGTGGGCACTTAATTTACATAAGATGTTACGGGATGATTTTTCCTGGGCCAAAATAAAATGAAATAAGCGTATTCGCCTCACTGAATAGCAAACCTTTGTCAAGCCACTGTTTTCTTTCCAATAGTTGTTGCCACACTTTTCATAAAACTTTTCATTGTTCCCAGAATCATTGAGTTAGAGGTTGAATCATCGAGTTAGAGATTGAATGATGGACAATATTTACATTAGAACAGCTGATCGTCTAATCCGATTGGATTGACTAGATTGACAGCGCTCCAAATAAGGTCAATGACCGGTACCAACTTAATTTAAATTAGTCCCATGCCCAACTACCATCAAAATTCCCCAGAATCCTTCACCTTGGAGCTTTGACACAATCTTTTTAAAGGTCATTGAAGGGACAAGCAGAGGTCATTCAGATAGAGGACTTTCCACGATCAAGTGTTCGGGAAAATTCCTCAGGCACATTTTGCCGATTTCCGAGTTATCCAGTTTTCGCTCATAGATCTAGGGTGGCTAATCCGTTATTTTATCACCAAAGCGCCTTGCGCGGATTTCTTTGTGAGCAAAAAAAAAAATAGCAACGTGAACAATTGTTTGTTCCTAAAGGCCAAAGTATTTTGGTAAGTGGTTTTCTTATTAGTCTTCTCTGTGTTTCTCTATTGCCTATGTATAAGCATAGTTTTCTGTTAATTGTATGGTTAAATTCCGAATATTGGACATACTTATCTATCGCTCCGCGCCCAGTCTCATAACGTCCATTTGTTTCAGGCCTTTAGTCG